CATAGGTAGATATCAGCGGACTCAGGAAGCCCTATATAGTCCCAAAAGATTGCACGCAGGTTCATAAAGGGTTCAAAACAGTTAAACAGATATCAGCAATGTCAGATCATCTCTTCTCAATCTCTAAAAGACAGCACTAGACCCATATCGTTCGTTCTCAGCGAAACATATATGAGATTGAATAAATATGAGCTAAACTACTAACAAAAGTGACCACAATTAACATAACCACAGTCAGAGAATCAAACAGAAAACCCCAAGAAGCATCAAACATTTCTAACAAATCCATGGTGGGAATTTGATATAGCAAGCACTAGCTCCAAGTGCAACACAGACCTGAAGAAATTGAAACACAAGTGGTTGTTACCAAGTCAGCCCCTTGTGAACCAAGAAAGTGACCAAATACGCCTGCTACTAAACTACCGAGTAGAGGTAAGACTACAATAAGTAAATACATATTTCAAGTCTTTGACATGTATGAACAGTCTAAGATTGTGCATTTAGTGGTTGAGGACGTTAGCTACACATTCAAACTGCTTGTTTGTCACGTTCACGTAGGTAACTTCAAATACTTTATCAGCGGTGAAGTCACGTCCTTGACAGCAGGTTCAATAGAATCAACTTCTCAATAGCATACCTAGCTCTCAACAGCAGAGCCAACCTCTCAACTACGAGCTTCCTGTTAGAACCATACGTTCAAGATATCGAGATCAATCACAGGAGCTATTACCAAGAAGCCAAAGTTGTAGTGGGGCTCTATTTACCCCGGATAGCCGGGGCTATTTGGCCTTGTGCCTGTTTGGCCTGTGGGGCCAGGTCGTCAGCCTGATCTCACAAACCATGTTTTCATTCAGTCCAGCACCACCCTTGGTACCAATCCAATCCAATCCAATTAGTCCGCTGGGGGTATAGCCCAGCGAAAGCCTGTATGCTCATTCTTCATTGTGCAGTCTTGAAATACGTGCGGTGTCGAGTCCTTGGTGGTGATGTCTCCCTCCCCTTCAGCTCCATCTTCATCTCCACCTTCTTCCTCCTCCCTTCGTTTTCACGGATTCGGGATCTGCCATCCTCACAACATCCCATTACACTGCTATCAAAATCCCCACTCCCACCGAGCCCACCCGGCTGCAACGCAGCAGAGGAACAACAGGAAGATCAAGATCTGGGATCGCCAGCGCTGCGCTCCTAGTCCGTACAGCCGCTCTCCACCCGTGGTCGTCCCCATCGGCCCAATTCCCGTGCATGAAATTCCAATGCCTGATAGCGTCCTGCAACCCGTTCCTGTCGGGCACTTCCGTGGCTCAGCAGTGCAGAACACAGGAGAGAGAAGAAAAGAAAAAGAAAAAAAAAGCAACAAGTGGGAAAACGTGACACGGCGAAAATAAGAAAAGAAAAACGGCCATTAAGAAAAACTGACATGCGGCCTACGCGTGCACACGAGCGCCAAGACCAAGGTCACGGCACAGACGTGCACTCTACACTTAGCGCCCACCCTGCCATGCTCCCAGATCATACATCAAGATCCGGGATTCATGTTGTTGCCAAGATTCGAATACGGGCAGCTGCTGCTTACGCGTGTGGCCAGTGTCTTAACACACTAGCCATACTTCAAGTACGAGCATATAGCTTGGGAGCTGCCACACCTACTATTTACCCCACACGCTGCGAGGCAACGGCAAGTGTGTTGCTTTTTGCACCCCCATCCTCCCTCCCACCCACCTCGATGGCCCCACGTGGCAATCAGGAGTACCGCGTGGTGTGGCAGCCTGCTGAGGATCTTGAAGGCCCCTTGGTCAGGGGCCTGCACTACAAGACTGTTTTGGTGGCAGATCAAAATCTCGGCAACAATTAAGATTCGCTGCATATCCGATCAATATGATCACATCCAACTGCTGCAGCAGTGGTCTTGCAGCAGTTCTGAAGAACCCCTACTATGAGGGTGCTTTACAGAGGAGAGAGAGCGTCTGATCCAAATATCAGCCAACCCTGGATAACCTTTACCTATTTGCTGCACATCTGATCTATCTCAGCAGATCCTACTGCTGCAACAGTGGTCTTGCAACAGTTTTGGACATTCCCCTGGCCAGGGGGGCGAGCTCCTATGGAAAAGGGGATGGCTGATCAAGAGGTTGGCAATCAGGGATACTGCGTGGCAGCTTGCTGAGGATCTTGAAGACCCCCCTGGGTAGGGGGCAAGACGGTCTCTGGTGGCTGATCGAGATCTCAACCACCAATCAAAATCTGCTGTACATCTGATCTGAGCAGACTGATCGGATTAACGTGCTTTTTTGGGGGGCTGCACATAAGGGAAGAGAGCCTGCAGGCGGCAAGCAGACTGCAGGCTCCTCATGATAAACACCCATCCAAACAACTCCAATTGTAAACCACGTTAAGGACGAAGGCCTTCCATAACCTAAACCTTTGATTCTCACTTCAACTGACTTAATTCCTGATGGAATAGCAGCACGCGCTACATTCTCGGCAGCAGCTTGACCAGGATAAGGATGCGGCCCCGATAACCTCCTCCTCGGGCCATGCGAGCTTGTGCCTCGCATAAGTTGGCACTGTCGGTAGTCATCCGCGTCCTGCTGTCTGCAGGCTGTTCTTCCCAGCCAATGATGCCACCTTCAAAAAGCTGCTGTCCAGTAAAGGTATCAAATGGGTGCACAGCTTCGGGCCTCAGCACCACAGACTGCCGCTGGTGTGTACCAGTTAAAGTGGCTGCGGGACAAAATCTGGGCACTCCCTAGAGCCAGCATAAAGGGACACTGCAGCAGGGAACCGTAGAAAAGAAGTCAGAATGGTTTGATTTAAACTACCAGTAGTGGTCCAGTACTTTGCTGATGGAAAGGCTTCATTTTGCCGAAGCACATTCCCCTGTGTACCTGAAAGAAAAAGGAACTGGCACATGTGCGGGCACTTTTTTTTTCCCAGCTGGCACCAACCATTTTGCTCTGGTAGACCGACCTCCGAAACTTGCCGAGCGTGCATGGCCACATAATAGAAAACTGTCTGGGATACATAATAGAAAAATGGCGGTGATGCTTACGACCCCTTTTCGCTGACCCTGCTCCGAACCAGAACACCAAGGGATGAGAGCCAAAACAAGACCTGGCCGGACGGGCGGAAGTTCCTTGTGCGGGAACAGGTTGCTAATAAACGGACTGGATCGTATGCTCACATCCACCTCCTCCCTATGGAATATGCCGTTCAAGAGTCACCAGGGTTGTCCATATAAAAAACATCTCGGTCCAGTAGAACCACAGATGGATAGCGTCAAAGAGGTGAGAACCAGTATGGGAGGAGCATCGACGATAGCCTGCTGAAGTTAATCTCCCTTGCCCTGCTCTCTTGGGTGAGAACCCTGGTACGTAAAGGCAACTGGGTAAGACTACAGCACAGGGAGGAGATTGGTAAGGTAACCATGGCGAGTGGCATGCGGTATGGCATCGCCCGTACACAGTCCAGTATGTAAATTCTCAGGTGGCAGAAACCAGCGAGGAGTGGCCAAGGGTGGGAAGGACATCTAAGCTAGTGCATCACATATATAGCTAATCAGGGGGAGAGGGAAGGTGCCCCTGGGAGTCTACAGTCACGCAGATGTATCCGCTGGTCAAGAGGAGAGCATGCATCCGGACCATCCTGTTAACATCGTAAACGGAACACTGTAATGTGGACACGAGGCTCTTAATAGCATCCAGACTTCACTAGCAGGAGGCTGATAAGACCATCGGACCAGCCACGCCTAGGAGCCTACACCCTTTCTGCACTTGGATTACAGAAAAATCCAAATCTGCAAAGAGAGAGGTGGCTACATCATGGTATAGGGCATCCTCAGAACCCTTTTACAGCACGTGAGACCACAAAACACTACAGCACTATCTTTATGACCAGCCTCCAGGCAAGATGTCTCCGGAGACGATGAGATAGTCTGTGTGCGCATAAACATAGAAAACGGATAAATGTGACATAGTCCGTGGTCACATAAACATGAAAAAGGGATAACATCCTCCTGAACGCAAGTCCAGATTCCTTAGCACAATCCCATGCTCTGCATCACACTATCTTCCACCTTGGAAGAACAGCAGCTCTCTGGAGCATCTGGGTTCAACATTTCATCGGGGGCATAGAACCGGCAGATGAACCGGCCCAATTATCCCCGAAATCGGATCACGCAGTTGCAGTTCGAAGTTGCAATGCAGTGAGAGAATGAAAGACTAAATGGGTGGTTGACAACTTGACAAGGGCATTTGACCAGCTAGCTTGAGCACAGCTACTCACATATTTCTTTTGCCGAGCGGCTTGGGGACGACCAGGGATGGATTCCAGGAGCGTCAACACTCGGCAGGGCAGACGGCCCTCTCCAGGACTGGATCACACAGGGAGGTTCAGGGCCACTCCGTTTGACCGGGCAGTTTCATGACCCTTTTCCTCCTGGGGTTGGAGCGCCGGTGGAGCTCACGGCCCGCTCTGTCTAGATTAGGAATTCGGGGGCGCAATGTTCAAAGAGGCACGGAATTGCGTCAAGTGTTTGTATGGCGCCCCTTCTGTTTATGACAGCGGAGGGCCTCGGAACACTGCAGGTGGTGCACGCCCCCACCCATAGATTGGAGCCTCGGCTGAGCGACAAGCAGACCTGAAAGCCGGGGATTGTCCTAGAGGAGGGAAGGCTGCCCTAAAATAGAGTTCAAAATAGAACCATCGTCAGAGACGGTCAGAGATTTACAACCCAATGTTTGTCAAGCTCTTGTTGAGAGATGGTCTCTCAGATTTCCTTTGTACATATCATCACTGAACGGAACAGCGGCGGCGGGTATAAAGGAAGCTGGATGCCTGAGGACAGGGTACACGTTTCATACACTCCTGCATGTATAAACAAGCAGTCAGCAAAACAGGAGCTGAACGCCTTGTCGGAGCAGAATTACAAAATTTGGTAATATACTAATATCATATTATCAATGCCCTTTTTTCTAAGATAAAGTGTAGCACCTGTTCTGATCAGTTTAATATCTGATCCGCGGACCATCGGACAATGTTAAAAAATCTGCGGTCCATCGGACCATACTAAAAAGGAAAAGCCATGACCAGACGATAACCGCAGATTGTACCTTCCATCAGGAGCGAACAACACCATTCACTATTTAGATGCGTTTGAACGTTGAAATGTACAACGGAAAAGATCCTGATGTCCTATTATGCCCAGCAACCACAAAAGAAGCAAATAAATGTGTTTATTATGATCACCCCCAACAGAGCCCTATGCTACACAAATCCCATCTCCAAAGTATGACAGTATTGAGAGTCGCAGCGGGACAGAACAAGAGAGTACATTGGACCTCGATTTCCGACTAAATTTCTATCGTCAAACCCCCATGCCAATACATATACAGGCAATACAAGAGAGAGGCACTTCACCAAGCATTTCCATCGTCCTTGGCCTGAGAAATCAAGGGAAAGCAATCCAAGCTGCACTGCGCAACTCTCCAAATGAGTAAAATGGCAGGCGTATCTGCAGCTAGGTGGTGGAGAAAAGGTGCTTGCTATTCATTGATCGTTTTCACATCTGGGGAGTGGTGGTCAAGCGAGCCCCTATGCCGTCATCATCCAACACTTCGTTTCTCTATCTTCACGACTGACGAACCTCCACCCCCGCAGTAGACAGCTTCAAGAGGTCTGTGTTCTGTTTTCAATGTAGGTAGGTGAAAGGCCGTCGTTCGCAGATGTACGATGGTCATATTCCATCCTTCAGTACATCCTTTAAGAGTACAAAAAAGGACAAAGAGACGACCGCTTTACAAAGGATGACACACACAAACCACAAAAGGCGCAAACATCTATCTAACCAAAGATGATTGTGCCAAGAACCAATCGCCTGTTTCATCAGTGCACCTAACCGGGACACAACGGGCTCTGATATGCATTCCACAAGCCTGACTGAACAAGGCATGTTCTCCCTTACCTGGCATATACACAGTGCATTACCATGCAACCCCTGAGAAGCTTAAGAACAAACCAAACAGCCTTATGTCGCTCATAAAGCGAAACTCTGCCGCATACTCACGACAAGCCTGCAGGCTCCGCACCCCCCCTGTTCTGTGTGTCTAAACTCAGGATCACAGACTGGACGTCTACTTTCGCAAGAACGGAACAGAGAGACTTATAGGAGCAGAAGAGAGGGTCAAGCCAGCTGCAACGAAGACTGCGTTCCGATACACGTTCGAGGAAAAAGCCGAGGTCCTCGCGCACACAAAGCTCATGCTACTGCAGCCGCAGAACAACGTGTTATTGGAAGAGAGAAGCTTTCCCACGTAAATCCTCACTGCGATTCATGACGAACATGGAACTCTGCCGCAAGTATGTTGACATTTTTAAACGCCGTCTGTCGGGCAGCAAACCAGGCAGCCTTGTCAATGCCTCAAGGATCAACAGACAATGCGTAGTAAACGCTGCCACGACCGAGAAGATGCAACAACCAACCAATGCTCACTGTTACGTTCGCCATGCATCTCCTTAAAGCAGAACAAGGAGACACAGGCAAAAAGAATTTGCCACAAATATGGAAAGCGACGACAAGACCCAGGATCGCTATCGCATCGGCTTTCCCTCCCAACGAGTCTCGAGCTAATCATATCATGGCAGCAACTCACAACAAGCCCTTGCAGCAAGAATGCTTCTAAAGGCCAAATGTTAAGCATATTTAACAACTACTGAAAGACCCAGAACCCCATTGCAGCCATACAGCTCCCAAACACCTTCCAAAGAATCCAAACTCCTTTTTGGGGGAGGGGGTGGGGGGTGGGGAGTGGGGGGGGGGCACGCAGGGCGAGAAAGGAAAGATGAATCTGACACCACAGAGGGGGGATTCTGAGCAAAACAAAGCCCTTATGGGCAAGCAAACCTAGCCGGGAGAGTTAACATTAGTAAACAACAGGAAACACATCACTATCATTGCCAGTTCATTTCCAAGATGCGCCTCCTAACCGAATCACATCCTCTGTGGAAGAGTCCCCAACAGGTTTCGGATAGTCAATCTGCTTGCTCTTGGGCCCGCTGGCATCCCCGTAAACATCCCTCAGTTTCTGTAAATTGACTAACACGGTGTTCTCCTCTTTCTTCTCTGCAGGGCTCCTTGACCTGCCACTCTGCTTGGACTTAGGCCCGCTGGCATCCCCGTAAACATCCCTCAGTTTCTGCAAATTGACTAACAGGGCGTTCTCCTCTTTCTTCTCCGCAGGGCTCCTCGACCTGCCACGGTAAGGTGCTCTGTTCTTGCTAGGGCCAAGGCTAGCGCTTCGGCTGCGGCTGCGACTTCTGCTCCGCCAGTTCTCCCGATCATAATCATGGGTATCATACGGCCTATCCCGCTTCCTGTACCGGTCATATCTATCGCGATCACGGTCCCTCTCCCGATCCCTAACACGGTCCCTTTCCCTTTGCCCTTCCCTCTCACGGCTCCTATCATCTCTCTCACGGTGTCCATCCCGATATGCACCTCTGTCACGTTCGCGATCCCACTCTCGAACTCTCTCTCTGTCCCTGTCTCTGTCCCGCTCAGTATCTCTGTCCCGATCACGATCTCTATCCCTCTCCCTATCTCGGTCCCGGTCCCTGTCTCCATCTTTCTCTCTAACACCATCCCGATCTCGATAGCCATCTCGTTCCCAAGCCATCGCGCGATCTCTATAACCGTCCCTATCCCTCGAACCTCCTCGCTCCAGGAACCCATCCCTACCTTCCCGATCTCCAGACCCTGGACGATCCCTTGACAGGCCACGAGAGCCTTCTCTTTCTCTGTCTCTTTCCCTCTCCCTGTCGGCATCCATCAAGTCTCTTTGTGATTCCTTGGCAGCATTCACACTGCGCCGTACAGGAGAAGCATCTCGAGTCGATGCCCTGTGTGGTGCCCGCTGCCCAAATGAAACAGACAGAGCTGCTTTAACAGATGGAGGACGACGGGCAGGCTCATCTGACACATACCGATTGCCTCCAGTGCCCGTGCCACCACTGCCAAGGGCCTTCGTTGGCAAGCTTGCTCGCTCAAGATTTAATATTATTTGTCGCATCACAGGCACCGGAATCCGGGGAAACAGTGTGTCAAAGTAATACTGCCCAACAACAAATCAACAGGATCAGACATCCACAAAGCAAACAGTGTTAGGAATGAAATGACTAAAGAGGAAGCCCCTGCCTGCAGGTAAACAGAGGGATTACTAACACGAACGTGTTGCACACTGGCTAACACGAACGTGTTGCACACTGGCTAAGGAGCACATAACAAGGTAGGCACGAACGGGCCATATGAGGGACGACAGCAAGGGACCCGGTGCAATGAAAGAGGGAGCAATGGAGGGAATCAGAAGCAGCCTGCAGGCCAGAGAGGGAACATTAGGCGGTGGGAATGGGGCAGGTTCGCAGGGAATGGTGAAGAGGAGAAGAGAGGCAGGGGGAAAGAGCAGGAGGGAGGGGGAGGGGGAGGGGGAGGGAGAGGAAGGGAAGGGAAGGGAAGGGGGGAGGGAGGGAGGTAGGCGGGGAGGGAGGAGGGGATAGAGAGAAAACAACACCGTTTGCACTAGCACACAGTAGCTACAGTACTGAAATGCTGACCATACTTGGTGCACATGAAAGAGCCTGTCTCTTATACACATCTAGATGTGTATAAGAGACAGGTCCACAAGCCACCTGCACACATTTAAGTTATACAAGATAGAGAGAAAACAGCACCATTTGCACTCGCACACAGTAGCTACAGTACTGAAATGCTGACCATACTTGATGCACATGAAAGAGCTGTCCACAATCCAACTGCGCACTTTTAAATTATACAAGACAAGATGTCCCATCCCAAAAAGACGGCCACAGCCAGACACGTGTGAAAGAAAGCAGGACTCTATTTGGCAAAGAAAGATGGGTCCGGACAAAGCAGGCCACTGAAAAAGCACGAAGAAAAAGCACGAAGAGTAGGCACGGACAGCTAGGCAAGAGGAGAAGGTAAGCAAACCTGGTCAAGCAGTAAATCTCTGACATACGCTCCCATTGTAGTCGTTTTCCCTGTTGTACTTGGTGAGAATTCCTGTTCACAAAAGAAAGATCTCACATTGGTGAGCCCACCAGATTACCAGCCAACAAAATAAGGGACAAGTAGAAAAAGAAACACAACCTACAAGCCACAGAGCACCACATCAATTTTCTCCATTCTGCTTTATCCAATCTTCAATATTTGAACTGACATATACACCCAATACCCGCCGCTTAATTGTCAACAGCAGATTATCACCATCACTGTGATTCGCGCCTGGCCGACAGCTCGGAGACTGGGACTCTGATCGGCCAGCAATTGCAAACCCAGCAGAAGAGTTGCGGAGCGGTGAGAAAAGCCCCAACCGCTCACTGCTCTAGAGTCGTAAATTTTGAAATTCACAATCTTCTCCATGATCCATACAGACTTCTCTTGAACAGTGACCAAACAGTGCAGCATAACAAGGGATAATGCGCTTTGAAAGGCCGATGAGCTGGGAGAAGCTGCCAACATGAGGTTGCATCAGCACGAGAACACAAAAAGCCAATTACTCATTATTACTGTCAACGATAGCCAAGCAGGAAGAGGAATGGGACAGGAAAAACGCAAAACAGAAGCACACAGTTGGGATGAGGAGAACAACCTAGAAAAGAGAACATCAGCGACATATCCGAAAACAAGTGCAACACATCGAACCGATGAGGAAGGATACCACACAAAAGATGTTCTGAGCTTGAGGGTCAATTACCACAACAGAGGGAAGACGGAGTGAGGTGAAAGAGGTGTCGGGAGATGTTACAGACGGACAGTGAATATAAATAGAGGGACAAGAGCAGAAGGGACTAGGGAAAACGACCCTGCAAAGAACAAGAAACATAGAATCCATACAACGCCACATGGAGAGCACGACAAAGAACCTTGATTATAGCTGGGATGGGGCAACAAAGACGCAGCCGGCAAGTCCCATGGACAACTAGGTAGAGGACGTAGTGACCAAGAAAGGGGTGGTCAAGCCGGATGGACAAGCGAGTGGGTGATGTAGAGACCAAAAGTTGCGAGTTAGAGAGGAGGGGCGGGGGGGGGGGGGGGGGGGGGGGGGAAGAGGGGGGGGGGGGGGGGGGGGGGGGGGGGGGGGGGGGGGGGGGGGGGGAAAGAACAGACAGCACCAGTGCAGAAAAGGGGGAGAGGGGGGAGAGGAGGGGGGAGAGCAAGAGACAAAATCAAGCAAGCAGGCAAGGAAAAGAGAGAGAGAGCGAGAGAGAGAGAGAGAGGTTCAATGTACCATAAGCACAAGGAAGTAAAGTCCAACAGCTGCAAGAAGTCTTTTTAAGAAACCATGAAAATGTTTCTATGAGCCACCACAAGGAAGTGAAGTCAAGCATCATCAGCGAAAGGGGAAGGAGAGGGGGAGGAGTATCCTCAAGTCTCCAGGAGAAAGGCAGAGAGAGAGAGAAAGGAAAAAAGAGGACGAAGCAGGGGAAAGGTATCCGATGAACAACAAAAACTCAATGTTATCAGGATGGTAATACGCCGACAACACCTTTTCGACGCAACTCATTCATTGGGAATCCCAGGCATCGTCGCCACACCTCCTTCCTCTCACTGACTGATCTTTGAGAGAGAAGATTAAAATTGTGGGCAAGAAGCGATTGAGAGACACATCGAACGAGACACAGAGGTTTCCCGTAAATAGTCGACGGAAGGGGGGTGACGTGAGCATCCACTGCTTTACTAGGCAACATCCCCAGCCACAACTCAAACATTTCCAGGAATATCACAGAAAGCCACCTTCTTCCCAGTTTAAGGGCTTTCCATATGTGTGGCCAAGTACAATCATTGCACATGCCTCATGCAGACGTCTGTTGTTATCACGATAACATACATTGGACTTTTAAAAAGGCTACATTGGACTTTTAAAAAGGCAGATGACATTACAATCCCATGCATGCAAAGAGAACAATACAATCTCACATATCCACATAGTACATACTCAGTAATTGTGCTGGCTTCCACTGCTTCTAGACGAGTGTCAAGCTGCTTCAACTGCTTCTAGACGAGTGTCAAACACTGAAATGTGACTTAGTACAACACACATGTGAACACACAGGCAAGCAATGCCGCCGGATAAACAGCATCCAGATGTGATGTCGCTGACACAGGCAAGCAACCGACGGATTACAAAAATTGACGCCTGGAGCTGACGATCATACAAGCTGCCGGGCACTGCAGATCCTCCCATATCACATGCACACACAACCATCACGTCACACACGAAACCAGCATGCGCATCTATGGGCCAGTAAAGTGTCCCCAAAAAATTTACTCATAACATTTCCAACAAATGGCGGACTGTATGTGAAATCACGCATGCTTGACCACTACACACATTACCAACGGGGAACCGACATTACTTTGACCGGTGTTTACTCTGGTCTGCACATCCTCTGTATGCTCGACTCAGAGTCTGCAGGCACAACACATTGCGTGCAAAATAAGGTAACTCCACACCTGCTCGTGCCACATTTGCGAACAAAACCAGACAACTCATCCACACACGTTTGTATGCAAAGTTTTGCCACAAGATGATTCATCACCGGTTGTCGATTCCTTCACATGCATTCGATAGACCACACAGGGATACACAGGAACGATACCAGCAAACGCACACTGTCAAGCACACGAGTGTGGTGATTTTTTTTACTATCTTATGCTTTTCTTACACAACAAGGTCATACTCGCACAGATGATATCCGAAGCTCTTCTGCAAACTTGAAACCCCCACTATGCCACGAGGCTTGTGCTGGTTACAAGGAGTCTGTGACCAAGATTCGCCAGAGGGAAAAGAAGCCCGTTGGATTTTTCAATCCAACAGAGACAAATCGCACATGGCGTCCAAAGAAAACCAGCAGGCCCACGAGTACCGATTCTGCCAATAGCACTGGCGGTTTAAGACCCCTTACGCAGTAGAGTTGTACAGAAACTCAGCTTGAACTCCACTTCTCCCAGAAACCCAACAAACCAATCCTCGTTCCAAAACACCCAGCCCGCCCATCCAGCTGAATGATGCACCCATGATCCGTCGATAAACAGACCTGAGTTCGAATACTGATGGAATCACACGTATAAAACATCTCTGAATTACCCCCCGCCGATCACTTCGATAATAATACCTCAACGACATCACCCTTACATCCCAAACTGAATTACTAAATCATGGTTCCAGAACAGATCTCAGCAATGGTATCTCGTTCTCCAGCATCCCCTCCTGACAGCCCAGGGTGTGGAACGAGGCCAAAAAGGGCCCTTAGAGAAGTCTTCAATCTATTATAAAGGGAGAAGCGCTACAGGTTACCTACCTCAGCTAACTAGTCTGTGACCCAACCACCACAACTCAAACACACAAACGTTTGCAGAGATGAATCAAATCTGCTGCCACAACGAGTTGTCATTGTTGGTAATCTTGACCTGTTGCAGCTTCGCTCACAAGATGAGAAGACCGTCGACAAACATGGACTTGGCCGGGAGCATCTTTTTCCATTCCTGTAAATAAGTTAATGGAATGTGTGTGCATGTAATTAGCCTACGCTTGAAGTGCATACAAGCACTTAGCAGGCATGCAGACACCAAGTACATGCATGTACATAGCCTGGCCCTGAACAAAAGGTGGACAACATGTACTTAGCCCAGGCTTGGACTAATGAAGTACATAAACATCAACAACCAAGTTTGAAAACATCACATCTACTAGATGACCTGTTGCGGCCGCGCTCGCAAAAACAAATGTGACAGGTTATGCACTGAGGATGGAGGCAACCGACCAACAAAACTCTCTCTCTCTCTCTCTCTCTCTCTCTCTCTCTCTCTCTCTCTCTCTCTCTCTCTCTCT